TAGTAAAACCACACAGTAATAAGTGTCATCTAATTAATGAATAAATATATTATTCATTATATATTTATTATTTGAATAAGTATTAATTTTCAGCAAAATAGTGATAAAAAATGAAAAACTTCTTTTAAAAATAAATTCATGTTTTTATGAAAAATGCACATTACAAAACATTTAAAAAGTTAACAGTTTATCTATATTAAAAAATAGTCATCACTGTTAATTAATAACAAAAAAATGATAATTAAATAAGTCAAGGAGAGTTACTCAAAACAGTTTTAAATATAATTATTTATATATCTTTAATATTTGTGGTACTCATTGTAAAATTCAAAGAAAAATTATTAAAATAATTCACTATTAAGAATATAAGATAAATATTAACTACAGAAATCTTTAAATATGTTTTCAAAACAAAAATACAATTATTACAACATAACTTATAAGCTCAAAACAACTAAAATGTTAACAAGTAGAAACTGCTTTAATGAAGTATAAAAAAAATAAAAAATAAATGTTTTTTCTTTTTTATTTTCTATTAAAGCAGTTTCTAGTTGTTAAGGCATACTCTACAGTTCTATTACAAAATATCTATTAACTAAAAAAACATACTATAATAAGCATTTATTCTCATAGAAAGAAATGCTTCATTTATAAAAAAAAAGTGCAATATCATCATTTATATGTAAATATACCGTATTTACTCATATATAGGACAAGGTGTGACTTTAAAGATCAAAATAAAGAAAAAATTAGAATTGTATTAATAAATCTATCTTGTTTAATCATAAATAAAATATTATCAAATGCACCTATTAAGGCAAACAACCATGTTTGCCTTAATACATGATGAATGGAAAACAAAACCAAAACGCTATAATGAGCATCACCGAAAAAAATTTATTTTTAATGATTCAGAATGTGCAAATATTCATTAAAAATAACAATTTAACATATATGAAATAACTACATTTATGATTATTGCTAAGTGGCCTGTATTTCATTAATGATTCTATAAGTAACAGGGAACTATTATCTGGGAAAAATGAGATGCAATGCAAAACTGCATTGCATCTCATTTTTCCCAGATAATTGATGGATGTAGGATTAAAAAATATAAACAAAGCGGGGTGTGTCTTAATTTATTTACAGTAGGTGCCAACTTACAATAAATAGTCTGTAAATTTATAATGGCAATATGAACTATACATGGTTCACAGAAATTATTGCAAAAAACACAAAGAATCCTTTGCTCACGTGTATAAGACAACCTAAGTTTTTGAAGCAGTGAAAAATGAATGAAAACCTCATCTTATACACGAGTAAATATGGCAATTTCAAAAAATCAAAAAGACAAATGTGCATACAAGATAGTGATAAATAGAAAAATAAATCTTGATAATTTAATTGAAAGAATTAAAAAATGAATTAATACAAACAATTATTTATTGTGACATCAGAATGCCAGGGTGCAACTTTCATCACTAATCTCTCATATTTAAGTGTCTTGCCCTGTACATCATACTTTTCCTGTTAACAATGGAGTCATGCCAGTCATCTATATAACTCTGTTCTGGAGAAAATTTTTGAATTGAAATAACAAGACTTCTGGTCCAAGCCAAATCTGTATACAATTAATCAGGACTTCCTGCCCCTAAGCCTTCCATATCTGGTTTCAACTTTCATCTATCTAACTCTGTTCTCAAGACCAAAGAAGGACAGACAAACAAATGATAGTGTAAATTTATAGGTCTACAATTTTTGAAAATTGCAGCCCAATTATAGCCACGTATAAAAATGAAAAGTTTTTCTTAATAATAGATTCATGGAGTGGTCAAACAAATTTTCAAATATATGACAAAATTTTTGTAAAAAATAAAAGTTATTTCCTCTTGCCAATTAAAACTTATCCCATTGAAATGTACTCCTCTTTGTCGGTCTTGCAATGTTTATTTAAATAGATGGGTTAAAAATTTTATCAAAACATTACAAAATTGTAACCATGTGGTGTTGATGGCTAGATAACCAAGCTTAACAGCTTGGTTATCTAGCCATCTGTAATTTACAATCAACTGAGGACACATTTGATTTACAATCAAACTGAGGACACAGGATTAATTTACAATCAAACTGTGGACACATGGTTAGCCATCTGTAATTTACAATCAAACTGAGGACACATTTCAGAATTAGTGAAAATGGAATGTAAAACTGATTGAATTTAAATCATTAAAGCTGTCAAATTACTTTAAAACAGTTGTAAATTTTTAAATTTTTAGAAAGCATTTTTTAATTCTTTGTATTTTTTTAAATAATAAATTTTGTTTTAAATATTTAAAAAATGGCCTAAAAATTGTATATAACAATTTAAACATATAAGATTTAAATTTAAATATAAATATTAAAAAAAAATTTGCCTACAATTGAACCCAGTACCAGAAGCACCCCATGCAGTGTTTTGACCAGGATCACTATGCTGCTAACTTAAAAAAATTACACTCTTCCATAAAGGTATTTAGTGCTTAGAAAAATTTTAGCACCATTTACTCAATGATATATGAATGGTGCATCAAGCAGCAAACAATTAGAGACTGCTAGATTCTCCTTATTAGCATAGTGATGTACTACAGTACCTGCAGATTTTGGGAAACTATCTGCTGGACTGATGTGATATTAACTTTTTTCTGCTTTTTTATATGGGTGTTGTTATTTTTCTTTGGTTTTTGTTTTTCCTGATAGTCCTCCCAACGAATTTGAATTTGGTTATTTAACTGATTGATTGATTGTTAATTTGTTTAATTATTAATTAGTGTATAGCATATTATACTTGTTTTTGTAATAATGCTTTGTTGTATTAATGATTGTATTCTCCACATCATGGCAATAATTTCTAGCAAAGCATGTACAGTATAATTCTGTGATGGGACCAAGACTACTTTGAATTACACAAAACATGAATATGGACTAGTGCTGAGCTGAGCCGTGAGCTGCAATTCTGGCCCAGATTCACAAATGGCTTGTAAAATATGACCTAGTATTTTTCTGATAGCATAAATTTACGAGAAATGTACAATCTCTGGTATCTTGTATTCACAATTCATCTTGTATCCCAAGTTTTAACACCTACAAGAATTTTGAAGTGCCTGGTATCAAGAATGTGCTGGATGATGATATTTTTGACAATTTCAGATTTAAAGCAGCCAATAGGCTTTCTGCATTTTGAAAACAACACATTCAGAGCTTAGTTTAAGAGGTAGAAATTGTTAAGCGTAATGTCTGAGAAGAAGAATTTTTCATCTTCCAAATTACAATGTTGTGCAGATGACACAGAGAAGAAAAATAATTGATAGTAAATTGTCCCACAATAACATTGAGCATAAAAGCAAATGCTTGGAATGAAATTTGTTCTGAAGTGAATGCTGTGAGATAAGTAAAAAAGAGTGCAGATGAAGTAAGGAAAAAATGAACTGATTATAAAAGCTTTTGTAAAAGTAAAGATATGTAAATATAATTTTTAAATTTTATATCTGATATATACTAAACAGAATTAATCAATCGGGCACTGAACATTGCCACTCAAAAATAAAACTGGTGGTGGTCCACTCAAAATGCATTCTTTAAATGAATGCAAAGAAAGAACAAGTATTAATGGAGAAACTGCCGTTGTTGATACTGAAGATGAAGTAGAAACAATAACAGGATTAGAAATAACAAGTAATAATTTTAAATTCATTTTTTTGTTTGTATTTTAATAAGGTCTATCTTCTGATATATTGAATTTGGTGTCATTAAAATTATATGAAGAATTAACTTGTTACATTTACATTTCGTGTTACTAATGAACATTATAATGATTTTACAAATGTAGTCAAACCTTACTTTATGAACTTAATTCATTCTCAAACCAAAACAAATTTTCCTATAAGAAACAATGTAAAATAGATTAATTCTCAACCCCCCAAAACAAAGTTTCTTTTACCTTTTTTAGCAGCATTTCATGCATAAAAATGCCTACAAATATTATTATATTATATATTATAATATATAATATATCATCATCTATATCCATTTTATATATATATATATATTGAAAGTAAAATGTTTCCTCACTGCCAACTGAAACCAAAACTAACACTTTACAAATCAATCAAGACAGCAAGTACTTTATCCACACTTTCCAAAATATTATATTTCAATTGCTTCAATTTTAATTTTAGTTTCAGTTTCAGTGTAAAAACCAGAGATTTTAAACTCTGGTTTTTATACTGAATTATTTTTTTATTTTTTATTTTAATTAACTAGCTATTAATAAATATTATATTAAACAGCAATAAATATAAAACAAACACCTTTCTCTATTCCAGCACACTTTTAATGCGTTGAAAAACGTTTTCGGAATAGAGAAAGGTGTTTGTTTTATATTTATATAATACTTCCAGTAAGAATTTAGTTATTTATTAAACAGCAATAATATAATATATAATGTATTAAAAATTTTGTTATTTAATTTGAGTTAAGCACCTTTAAATATGAATTATTGAATGTCATTTATATTATGCAAATGTCAATTAACATGGTTTTTATTAATTAATTTGATTTGAATTGTGACACATACTGAAAACCAGTAGTAGTATCTTACCTGCATGTGCATTGAAATTTAATTTGAATAATTTCAATAGTCGCCAATAGTTCATGTTGTAATGTCTAATGACGCGAAATGAATCTTAGCACCATTACACAGAGTCCTGTTGTTGATTGGTCAAGCAATCGACTTTCTTTAACATAGGAATTATAAGAAATTGATCATTGGTGGCTGGTAGTGTTTTCACCTGGACAGTCCGGGTAAACTATTAATTTTGTCCGGGAATTCGCAGAAATTGTGAAATTATGATGAAACAAAGTTCTTGCAAATATTTTTACAAATTTATACTATTTTAACAGTGAAAGAACTCACACTCACTGGAACTCATCTGCAATTCTGCCATGTTAGTCTGTTTACACTGATGTGTGGCACGCAACCTGTCGNAAAATCAAATAATCTGGAGAAAATGTAACTTGTTTTGTTTTTTACTTACTTATTTAGTTTGCTTTTTTGATCAATTTTATTTTATATATGTAGAAAGAAATCGCAATTAGAAGAGGATTGCATTTCATTATCAGATAAAGAACATAAAGAAATTAATGAAGTGTTACAGTCAACAAAAAATATTTCGGATTTACCTGATAAAGAAATAATGACTATATTAAGGCATTTTGATTGTAAAGTAAGTAAAATATGGATATTTGACTAAATGAATTTACAATCATCTGTAAAATCTGTGAAGTTTGAACATATTTGTGACTCTAGTGCAACCCCAGAAATTTTTTTGTGGGTAGTGAGTCTATGATATGTCAGGACTTTTCCATCACCGCCAGGTTGTTCCCATTGTCGGACTAGCCAAATGCACAATGGATGTAAAAAACAAAAGCCCTCTTAGTATTTTTACTAAAAAAAAAAAAAAGTTTTTACTTATAAACCAAAAATATACTAATAGAAATTAATTTTCTACCTGACAATTAATTTAATGATTAATTATGTATTGACATTTAGGACATGAATATAGAGAATTTAATTTAGAAAATTTGCTTATTGTATGGTATGTAATAAGAATTAGTGTTATTTAAGATTTAACAGCAGTTAAAAATTGTCTGTAATCTTCATTGAATATAAATTATTAATTGATTTTTTATATTCTATCTGTTTCATATTTAAGAAAGATTCAATTATGAAAAAGTAAATAAATTTTACAATTTACATTATAGGGTTTGAAAACTGAAACTATAAAAAGTTTCAATTTAAAAGTCAATGCAGATTATTCAAGACTTTTCTTTCCAATGAATGGAATTGATGGTGAAATTACAGCAGTGAAAATTCTTTCAAGGATAAATCATCAATTTTTTCAAGATTTAATTATTCCAAAGTACAACAAGTATTTAGTTAAAAGTTGTAAAATGTTTATATTAATTTGCCTTATGAAACTTATCAAAAGTATAAATGTCACTCACAAAACCAAAAATCCAGCTCATAGATCAAAAAGTGAAAGGAAAACAAATATTTTCAATAGTCTTAAACAACCACCTTCAGATTAAAAGAATGGATTTGAAAATGGAACAAGAAATGGAATGTTATAATTTGAAATATGAAAAATGACATCTGATTAGCAGTCAGTGGTCATATGGTTACACTGGGATGTAAAAATAATAATAAATTTCATAAACTAAATGACAGCCTTAATTAATGAGGCAATTTTATGCTACCATTAATAATTATAAATTAAGTAATTTGATACTAGAGGTAGATGTTATGTGCCATTTCTTGTTGAAATTAATAATTGTAATAATTTAATGCAATTTAGAATAGTCTAGAAGAAAAGAATCAGCTCAAAGCAGGAACCAAACCCACAACCTCAGCTTATCTTACAGTGCACTAACCAGTTACGCCACCAGTTACTCAGGACCTCTGAGGACTCTTTGCTTCCAGACACATTTAAACCTTTGATATAATCATTCATAGTTACCCATGTATGCATGATGCTGACTGAGGATGACTTCTACATTCACGGCCTGTGCACGCTTCCACTACGGCACTCATCCAGCACATTGTATGGTAAGCAGAGGTTGTGGATTTGACTCCAGCTCCAGGCTGATTCTTTTCTTTCACACTATTCTAAATTATATTAAATTATTATAATTATTAATTTCAACAAAAGATGGCAACTAACATCTACCTCTAGTACCAAATTACTTAATTTCTAATTATTAATTGTAGCATAAAATAGTCTTGATTAATTAAGGCTGTTATTTGGTTTATTATTAATACATCAGGCTTTGGGATGTTTATATATGAATATTAGATTTCAAATAATGCCCTGTAAGTTCGGGATGATGTGTTATTTTCCTTGCAGTTATTAGTCATGTTATTTCTGCTGGCCTTCTGAGTGATATTTATACTTTTCATCCAGTATACAGTATGTTTATTAATTTAACTTTGGAAAATTAATGATAATATAAATTTGTTTTATATTTTTATCAAAATTAATAAGTCCAAAAACATAAATTAAAATTACATTTGCATAATTTTGTTTGTTGTAATCAGAGTTTTAATTATTATCATTTTCAGGAAAAAGGTGTATTTTTAACCATCTTTCTACATTATCAGTTATCATTATTAGTCTTATCCAGTGCTTAAAACATTTAATGTTAATCATTTTAACTATTATATTTTTGCAATATATTAGTTTAAATTGCTGGTATTTCACATTTTATTATATGCTAACTGTTGTTAAAGAAAGTAGCAGGGAAGCAATACTGGATGAATTATGACATTAATTAATAATTATAATAAATTAATCTTCAAGTTATATAATTTTTAATTCTTTTAACATGCCATTTAAATGTCAGTAAATAAAACCAGAATTTCTATTAACGATAGTCCTATTCACTTATCCTGTTTAATGTTAAAATTCAGTTAGTTATTAGTATAAGCATCCCTGCAGAACATCTCTTCAGTTAACATTTTTCCAGTAGAATTCTTTTGGTAGAATATCCAAAATTTATAGAATATATGTAGATAAATATATGCTACCAATTATTTTTGGTAATGCTTATATAGGAAACATTTATATTTATATTAATACAACATTTTTTAATAAAACTATATTTAGGGTTCCTACACACCTGGAAAGTCAGGGATTTTCATAAATATTCAGGAAAAGTCATGAAAAGTTAGAGAATTTGCCTTCTTGGCTGCTTTATTAATTTTTTTGCTCACAATATGGCTAACCAAGTGAAGCTCTCAGTAGGGAGAAAGAAGTAATGCAAGTGCAATGCAACTTACAAAAAGAGGTGCAGAATATTTTCAGGACCCAAAATTTCTCTGAAACATACACAAAATTTCCCCAAAAATCATTGCATACAAAATAAAACCAATCTTTGTTATAAAACTCTCAGATTAATTAATTGGAATAGATCTTTGTATCTACATTTGAGTTAAAAAAAATTAACCTAATTTACCAAATAGCAAAATATTTATTGTTCTGTACAAATTGTACAGAATAATTTTTTATAAATTTGCCAGGTTAAAAAGTGAAATGTTTTTAATATTTATGTGATAATATATAGTTTTTAGTCTAATATTAAAAACTTTTTTAAGAAATAGTTTAATATAATGTAATTGAGTTGAAATTGTCAGTTAAAAAACAAAGTAATGTATTATTTCTGTACATTTTGTATAGTAATTTAAAGTAATATACTTTTATATAAAGTATTATTAAGCATATTTAATATATTTTAAATAAAACTATTTTTAATGGGAAAATATTTTTTTTTCAGAAGAAAAGTTGTCGCTTTATTTGGTTGGCCTAAAATTTCAAAAAATCAAGAAATTGTTTTAACTTCAACCCCATTAGATGCTATTGCTATCAGCCAAGAAACAAATATTCCAGCTATTTCATTTCCAATAGGATTATCATCACTATCTAATGAAGTAAGAATATCTCAAATACCAAGATTTTGTATTTCTATGTTTGGTACTAAGTTCTGTTAAATTTAATTTTGTTGATGTTAATTACTGTACTCTCAAAAAAAAGAAAAGTAACATGAAAGTTAATAAATAAGGTAGCTCAAAAGTCAGGTGATCAAGATTTATGATGATAAAATGTAAATGTTCTGAACTGTTTTTAAAATAATCTTAACAAAGCTTTATGCACCCACAATCACATGCAGTTTTAACATGCAAACATGTATAATGTGGCAACTTTTCACTGATTTTTTATGCATAATTACACTGCACATAATTTCTATTCCTTGAATTTGACAATTCTGAAACATCCTGTAATGTGTCTTCTCTGCATGTGCCAAATTTTGACATCTTATATTGTTTTGTTTACAAGATATTGTTCTACAAACTAACTTTGCAATAGTATGCGCTAATGTGAAACAAGTTCAGTGGAAATAAATGATGGGAAGCTGAGGTTTCAAAGAAGAACCAAAAAAGATTTTCTTCTATTTTTTGGGCATAAAATAAACCCACAAAAACATTTAAATTATTGAATGTCATAGTGCTCCAGACTATTTTACAGAAATTAGTGTTCAAGGTTGTGGTGACTGGCAGACCACCATGTCATTACATCATGCATAGCTGACAAACATCCATGACATCACAACTGCTTCTTGTGGCAATCATGTAAGACCTTTATCAAAAATAACATCAAAGCAGAAAATTATCATGTTATTCATGAAATCAAGTTACAATAATGAAAAATTGCATGCAATCACATCCATAAGGTAGCAATTTTCTGCAGCAGCTTTTTGAGGGTCTATGATAAGTGGAAAAAATTTCTTAACCAAGATTTTTACACAGTTAGATAGATTAAGTTGCATGAGATATCATGGAAGCACAGCTAAATAAATCAATTTGGTGAAAAATGCCTGCAAAAAAACTAGTAATAGTGGAAATCAACTACTACCACATAGATTAATTGCTTTTAGACTAATTAGTACTAAGAACTGACAAAGAAACTGGAAATATATAATAAAACAACCACTTCACACCTAAGCGATAATTCCAGCAAACAAACACTAAAAGGTTTAATGTTCAAACATTTTCAGCCGTCTTTGAGAGGCCCGAATATAGGACAAATCTTAAACACCAAAAAAAAAAAAAAGAAAATAATCAGAATTTGAGTGCATTCCTAAACTCAACATTTTTTAAAGCACTTAGTCAAACATTTCTAAAGTTAAATTGTTCTTATAGCACATTAAATTGGTTTTTATATTGAGTGAAATGAAATTTTTCTCCATTGAAAATGTTGAAACTGTGTGAGTGATGTATCAATGATATAAATCAATCATTGATGATTTAAACTGGTATATTATTGACAGAATATGATGACATTATGTATGCAATTGTATGACAGAATTATGATATAATTATCTCTCTTTTTACTAAATATTAAAGATAATTTTAATAATGTTGAGTATAAATGAAGTATTATTTTATGAAATGTTTTCAACCAGCGGAATTTCAATAAAGTTTTCCTAAACATTAGCAATGATACATGTTTCCAATTAATGCACTTTAAATGATTCATTAAATTTAGGGATGCTTGGTTTTTTCAGTAATTTGAGACACTATATGATTAATCTGGACACTAACTGCTAAGTGCACACATACGATATGTGGCATGGTGTTTATTACTGAGTAAATTATCACTGATTCACTCAGTAACAAGTATGTGTGTATTCAGTCAATGTATGATTCTGCTTTCACTGCTAGTGCTAGCTAGCATGATCACTACCAGTAAAGTTCACTCACTCAGTAACAAAGAGGCATGTTCAGTGTAGTAATGGTTTTTATTTTTCAAAATGATTTTGTAAAATTTCAGACTCTGTCAAGATGCCATAGAGAAATTTGATTCAACAAATGGAACTGCTTTACTTGAATAAACCAAAAATTAACCATCTAATACCAGTCATTGCTTGTGAGTGAAGAAAACTGGAATGCCAAAATATACAATTGCACATATAATTCAACATTAACATTAAGGCTAACTGGGAACATACCAAAAACAAAAACATGAAGACAAAGATCCAGACATTGAGGAAGTCATTAATCATTCTCTATTGCAACTGGATGAGGTAAAATGATAAACAATGGAAGTTAATAAAGCTGCTCAACTTCCTTCAAAAATTTTGTAACAAATATAGCACTAAATTTCTGTTGCTTTTTATCAACTGTGTGGCACATTCTCATTTAGATAGTTTAAAAAAAACACCCATCTAAGATTTTTACTTCTCAGTTCAATATTCGTAATGCAGTCAATGAATGTGGAAATATTAAAAAATTTAAAGATGTCTGATGCTATGCCAATAAATTACAGCCTTGAAGCAATTGAAGCATTTAATGTTTAATACAGTAGAGCGTCGTTTATCCAAAAGTTGGTTATCCGAANAAAATATAGTTTCATGTTTCAACAGCAAACCAAAAGTGGTGAAAGATTATTAAAATGCTAGCAAAAAATTAGATTATAAATTGCAAAATTAAATGAAAATGTAGAAAAACTGTAAACCATTTCATAAGAAAGGCTTGAAATTGAAAAACAAATGCTAAATTAAAAAAATTAAAATATCTTAAGAAATAAAGTTTTTTGTATAGTATGTTTGTCAAATATTTATTTTTACATCATAAAGTGAATGCATTTAAATATATCAAAATTTCATCTATTTCCATTTAAAATCTACTGTTTTCAAAACATATGAATTTTATAACTAAGACAGTTTTTAATTTAAATATTCTTTATTTCAGTTTAAGATAACATTGAATTACATAAATTGTTACATAACATTCTATCTTATTTGGATAGCTGTGGTATCATCTAAATGAGCACTTACATTATCAAAAAATTCATTTACATGATTATCATCTATAAAAACATAATTACGTTCAAAATTATTTAATAAACATAAATTATGTAAAACAGCTGCAGCAAGTATTATTTTGCAGCATCTATCAGGTGAGTATTGTAATGCACCACCTGATCTATCTAGACAACAAAACCTTGATTTCAATATTCGAAAGCATTTTTTCAATAACTACTCTAATTTGAGAGTGACTTTTATTGTTCTGTTCTTCCTTTGATGTAGTAACACTGTTAATTAGTATCAAAAGCCAAGATTGAAAGAAGATATCCAGAGTCATCTAAAAATTTCAACAAGATGCATTTAAAATTAAATCTTTAATGGAGTGTAGAAGCATTTATAGTGTAATATTACTGCTAATTTTCTTTGAAAATAAAAGGAATTACAAAATTAATATATATATATATATATATATTTTTTAANTACGTAAATCAGTTATCCGGACAACCCCAGTCCCCAATTGATTCGGAAAATTGACGCTCTACTGTATTATATATATGTGAGAAGCCAGGGACGTAGAACTAAGTTTACGCCGCTTACAGGGACACAATCTCAAGATTGGATCACTAAACTTTTTCTAGAAGGGCTGTTAATGTTTAAACGAATCTAGAGGATTAATTCTAAATCTAGTCAGGATTCCTTGACACCAGTTAATCAGTTATTTTACACGCGGATTAACTCGCGTTATCCTTAAACTTGGGATTCGGAGTAACTAAGGAAACTTGAATGAAAATGAATGTCTAATAATAACCAAACCATTTTATAAAACAAATCAAAATATTTAATAAATCAAATAATAAAAATATACAATGATGAATCTAACCTATATCTTAATCTATCTTATTTCTAACCTAACGCGTGAGAGAGTTTACATCGATCTATCAGAGACTATATTACCTTCACCGTATTTTTCGTATCTGTTTCTGTATGAGGATCATCTTCTTTCTTTATTTATTCTTCTCTTTTCTATGGGAGGTTCTTTTATCTTTTTCCTTTGACAATCTTGTCGTATATTTATACTTCAATTAATCGGTCTAGCATGGCCTTGTCGGTCTTGTATGACGATCACTTATATCATATTCTCTTGTATGGCAATACCTCTTCTTAGCGGACTGCCTCTTAACATATTTCAGATTCTTCAGTATGGCAAACCTTCCTTCGACAGACTGTCCTGAATGGCAGGAAAATGTCCCTTTTATCTGGTCTTCCGTAATGTGTGCCAAAACTCGAGTCAGCCTGGGAAAGGAAATCAACTTCCTTTCAAAAATTCTGATGTTTCCTCTGGTTTTAGATAAAATCTTGTTGAAGTTTAAAATATGATTTTCTATTATTTTAAATTCTTTTCTCCAACTTATTATTGTGATTAAAATGAATCTTCCCTGACCATTCAGATCTCACATATGTGTGTTTGTCACATGACAAACAGTTTAGCAAATAATTTGGCATTTAGCAAATATCAAATATGTAGAAGTGCCCTTCAATGATATTTTGAATTAATACAGATTTCACGTAAACTGATAACATAGTACTGGTTTGATTGTATTAGATTACATTTACTGAGAGAAAACTGACTATTATATTTTTCAACCCTACTTATGCTTTGAACATTTTCTTCTATTAATGTGAACTGCAGGTTTTTCTAATATTGCTCATCAACAATATTGTTGAAGCCATCGTTGAAATAACACTTAAATATAGTAGTATATGTAATTAATTTCATTCCTTGGATTAATCTTGGACTTTTCTTCTCTGTACTACATATGTTGTTATAAATTGCAATTATAACTATGATGTATGCTAAAAACTATTCAATAAGTGTGTAAAGTAGCATACTTAAATATGCTGATTTCCACACCTGGTGAATTTTTTTTGACTTACATTGTAGACTATAGTTTTTATGACCACTATTGTGTTGTATGAAACATGAGAGTAAGAATGTTAAATTTTGTTTCGGTTGTATTACAAAATAGCAGTTTAGGAAAACAATGAATGGTATTGAATATGGGTTATTTCCAAATAAATTGTTTGTGTAAAATAATGATTATTTTTTATTACAATTGTGTTTTA